ACTCTTTCCTGTGGAGAACAAGTTAAACCATGATGTCAAAGACAAAGAATTTTTACTTATAATATCTGTTTAGAAAGGTAACCCATCAATAAATCCCAACCAAGGTCAACCTTCTATATTTTCCTGCCACAGCCATGTATAATTATCCCAAGCTTTTTCACACCTACAAGGGCAACTTTCCAAAGAAAAAAAGTACAGGCAACATACAATAAAGAGGATGTATAGCCAAGGTGTCACTGGGAGAACACAGTGTAAACACGTATATGTAATGTATTTGTTTCTGAGAAAACTTGTGGCAAGCCTAAACTAAGAGGTAAATTAAACAAACAAAGGTTCAAAAATACAAACATAATGCAAGACAGTCAATCTAATCAGCAGCAGAGACAACAGCAGAGGTCTCCCATCCTCCACACCCTAACTTGTGCATACCATGAAGGCAGCTTCTAAGTTCACTGAAAGGCCCACCATCCTTCACAGAATTTTTATCTAGCATAGGAGACCTGAATGTATTTTATGTATTTTCCAATGATTTTAAGTAGGTTTAAACTCAGAACTTTTTTTTTTTTTTTGGTAGCAAAAAAATAACAGGGTCTCCATAACTTTCTCATCAGCCTCAATTCCTTTGGTGCTTTGTAAGAAATACTTAAAAAGAAGTCACAGCTCATGCAAACACAAAATTAAGATAATGTATGTATGTTCTTCAAACCCAAAATCCAGATGGTCAGCTTAACCACTGGATGCTGTATTACTGAATTCAACAAAAAGCGTGTATCTTTGCAGGATCAGTACCTATGTCAGTACACAGTCCAGCACAATAGCTCTCCAACCCCAAGCAGGGCCTGTCACTGCCACTACATCTACCAGTATCAGCAAACATTGCAAAGTAGCACTACACACAGTATTATAAAACATTTCATTATTTAAAAAAGGTTGACTTGTCTTTGCAATTTTCCAAAACTCTAAGCTATTTTGATTTAAATTGTTCAAAGATAAAACTATAGAGTAACATTTTTGCCCTTTGGTGAGGAACAGGCTTTTTTTTTTTTTTTTTAAAAAAAAAAAAAAAAGTAGACAGCAGCAAGACAGGGTTAACACCTCTCTCACTATCCCTTTACACCCATCTGAAGCTTATCTACCCAGGGTATATTTAGAAGAGGGAGAAAAAGGGAAGGAGGAGGAGAGGACTTCAAGGCAAAAAGAAGTCCCTAACTGATTGAATCCCATGGATAGGCTGGAGCTCAAAGTGAACCAAGATCTCTGCCTTCTCCCAGAATATGGGACCCATTACCTCGCCACAGTCCTCTCATCACCATCACTCCTCGCTGGTGCCATACATGGAACTCTCTTCCTTTAACACACATCTCAAAGAAGAACATGCACCACTAGCAGTTTGCCTCACGTATTTTATTCCTGAAGCAGGTGTGCAAATGACACCATCTTGACTCTAGTAAATGACACTGCGGCAAAGAAACATTTGACCTAAATCAGACAGTGCAAGACTAACATCAGTACCTGATAACTTCAATTTCACTTGAATCACAAACAACATTTTACTTGCTACTATTTTTGAGGCAGACGAGGAACGTTACTCATGCTGTGGAGGAGCATGTCTGAGTGTCTGCAGGAAGAAATATGCCAGAATATTGCAAGCCAGTAAAACAGCAGTAAGGCTAAAGAAAAAAAAAATCATCAGATACTGTACTTTGCCTTTGCCTCTAGCTATAAACAGAAATAAATACCTTAACATGCAGAACAGCTATGTTCTCTACAAAGCCACGGAAAAGTTTAGTGTGTGAAATTACTCTTCTCACATTACAGCTTTGAGAGGAAGGCAAGTTTGCCAACTACTGTAAATAAACTTGAGAGGTTACCCAAGAAAAACCACTCAGGTGGTACCGTAGCACCACCTGTAGTCTAAGGAGAGCCCTACAGTGATTTGGTCACAATGACAACCACACAGAATCACCAATACTTTTCCTTGCCTTGGGAAATCATGCTGTTTGTGTCTTCTAGCAATCCCATATTGGCCAAATATAACAAAGAAGTCTTAATTTATTTGTACCAATCTTGTGAAAATAAGTGGATGAGTAACAGAAAAGGATCTTGTAAGTGCTGAACTGTGAAAGTGGAACTCATGTCTTAGGACACTAGAAAAAATTTCTTCCTGAGAACTCTTGCAAACAGTCCTACTGCAGAAAAAACTTCAGGCAGAGCACACCCCTCTGATTTTGCCAAAGACAAATCAACCACAAGAGACTAAACCAGATGAAACAAGTCATCAGTTCCAATGCTTATGGAACTATTTATTTTTTCAGTGATCTCACTGACCAGGCAAGGCACAGGGTGGGGTGCTGATGCTCTTGTGGGGCCTGGCAGAGCAGATCCTGCAGCACTCGCCTTAGGTCCCAGTTCCAAGGCACTTTTAAACTGGGACAAGTTACCTTGTTATAAAGGACCAGTAAAAACACTGTGTTCCTTCTGGTTTTAAGTGAGTAACCTCTTCACCAGGCAGAATGAACTCACAGCTATAAAGACCTTACGCTGGTTCTTTCCTCACAGTCCTTTCCTGGTGTGTTTCTTGCTGTGTCTGATGAGAGGCCATGAAGTCCAGAAGCATTCAAAACACCCTCCAGTCTCACGCCTGACTGACATACACACCTATAGAGCGGGATCCACTAGGACTTACTTAACACCGAGACGTTTCTTTTTTCTGGGTAATTCAGTATGCTGTTCTTTAATTTGTTAAAAAAACATAGCAGATTTATCACAAAACATGCAGCTCTAGAAGTCACATCACAGAAGAGCCATCATGCTCTACAGAACTGCTCTGGTTAGCAGCTGATCTAACTGGAGTTGGCTGCGCTGCTTAGAGTGAGGAAGGCACAGGTTGCAACCCAAGTTTAAAAATCCAGTATGCTTAGTTCAGGATTTGTGTGCAAAGATTGTATCTCAACTCAGAGCTCAAATCAATGCCAGTAAACACAGATTCAGTTTCACCAGTGAAATCCTTTTTGTACAACAACACACTAGATGTGTGTATACATATGTATACACGTATACATACATACGTACAACAACACACTAGATGTGTGTATACATATGCATACACGTATACATACATACATATATACGTATACACACATATACATACATACATATGTATACACATATACATACATACACACATACATATGTATACACATATACATACATACATATACATACATATGTATACACATATACAGACATACATACATATATATGGTCTAAACTAAAGCAACTACATCAGCTTAGCCACGCTGGTATCAATTTTTCTCATCCAGACGACAACAGATGTATATGATCTTTAGGAACCCTCTGGTATTAAAACCACTTATAATTTTGACAGATTACTGACATAGCATTTGTAATGTTTATGCGCTATTTACTTTTATGAACTAACCAAAGATTAATTAAATCTGCAAACCTATAAAATGCTCTGCTGGCAAACCTAAATCAGATTATAGTATTAGTTATTACAGAATTGTTGGTTCCTAAATACTGTTGCAACCAGAGTCGGGAAACATTAATCAAAGCTAATTTCTTGTTTGCTACCAAGAACTGCAGGTTTTCTCCCCTACAGCCACTGAAAACCATCCTAATCTTAACTACGCACACACCCAGAAAGTGAAAGCTAGAAGTGTGACAAGTGAAGTTACTATTTGCCAAGGATGGTTTAAATTCAATGCTTATGAGGAAAACTGGAAGTGCACAGTTTTCAAATCAGTCTATTTACAGGCTGTTCCCAGCCTGTTTTAATGAGTAAAATGCTTCTCATCAATCTACCCTAGGAATATAGAGGAGACTGTAGCCAGGATGCATAAACCAGGAATATTGGGAAAGTTGCAAGAGCAGTATGGTTAAATAAAACCAAACAAACAAACAAAAAAAACACACCAAAAAAATCCAACCAAAACCCACCACATTGACAGCTCTGAAATACAACAAAAAATAAATAACCAAGAATGTTTCCAACAAGTAACTACTGTATGTTTCACCAAGGTGCATTTCAACCAGAATCTGAAGACAGAATACCGAATTTATTCAATTTGCATATGTAGACAATAGGATTTTTTTTTTAATAAGTTAAAGTGTTGGCAATATATCTACAATTCCAGCTTAGTCATGAAAACAGATAAATCATCTAGATTCTCAAAGCCCTGCAAATAAAAATAGTAGAGGGGAAAAATTGAAGCATGATATTTGCAGCAGCAGGACAGGAAGCAAAAAGTCTGGTAACTGTTGCTGTTGATAAACACCACAAGCCTTCAGAAAAATACAGTCATTTATCATTAAAAATAAACTAACAAATTAAAAGACCACTGAAGATCATACGAGGACACATTAAAATTAAGTAGGTTAAAGTCCCACTGAAGAGCATGATTTTTAACCAGTATAAACTTTTTGCACTGTACTGAAGCACGAGTCAAGCTTTCAAAGTTGGTAACAACCAATAATAAGAGGTCATGCTGAAAATTGTGACAGCTATATGGGAGAAATGCTTTTTTAATCTTCCCTCTACATCAGCTATCCTTGATCCTCATAAGCGAGAGTTCAAATGTGTTAGGCACTTACATAATTAACTCAGGTTCTACCACTGCTTATCATCCCACATGCAGCTCAGAAAGCTTGCTGGGAATCAGAGCAGTGGAGGTCAACTGATTGGACTACAAGCACATAGCAATAGATCTGACTTAGGCAATTACAAGGCAGCAGCCAGGATAATCACCCAGCACAAGAGTTAGGAAGCTGGAGGCTCCACAGATCTCTACAAGGTTCACCACCGTATTACCCAGTACCTGTTCTCCACGCAGTGCCTTTGTTTTAAAGGCAAAGTGTCTATTTTTCAAATATATGCTCCTTACCTTAATTATCACACTGCAACCCTGTTCTGTAGGAAGACAAAGCTCCATAAGCCTGTTCTTAATAATGCACATCGTCAATTA